TGGCCTCTGGTAGAAATAGTGTAGGACTGTACTGCTATTGCATCATAGTCAGTGAGGCAGGCAAACAAGTCATTTTTAGTCTGACCAATTGTAGACAGGGCAATCAGGCCGGGGGATGGAAACATTCCAGTACAAGTATTAAGAGAGGAGTGAGGTTGGGCAGGAGTAGGTTTGCCAGTAAATTCAGTCAAGGTAGATAATGTTTGAACTTGGAACTCAGATGTAACAATTACAAGGCATGAATGATTGGAATGCCTGTGAAAGGAAACTCTGCCTACTTGTTTTTGGAGACATTGTTGGAAGAGGATGGTATTGTCAGAGTAAGGAGCTGTAGAGGGAATCGCATTCGTGCTGCAACATTCCATCTCTTGATGTCTGTCCTTTTCTTCTTGTTATTCTTTAGTTTGATCTGAAGTTTTATTATATCAAGGTTGTGATCTCAATTTCTTATACTGTTTCTGTATCTGGTACTGACGAGAATATAATCTATTTGATTCTTAGTTTGTGCCTAGTCTTTTCTTTCTGTTGAAACCACATATCAGAAACTATAGTTTATTCTTTCTGCAAATCTTGATAATCCTTTCACCATTAGAAAGTCAAGCTTATGAAAGGTAATCTTGGAAATATTGGTGGCCTCTGGTAGAAATAGTGTAGGACTGTACTGCTATTGCATCATAGTCAGTGAGGCAGGCAAACAAGTCATTTTTAGTCTGACCAATTGTAGACAGGGCAATCAGGCCGGGGGATGGAAACATTCCAGTACAAGTATTAAGAGAGGAGTGAGGTTGGGCAGGAGTAGGTTTGCCAGTAAATTCAGTCAAGGTAGATAATGTTTGAACTTGGAACTCAGATGTAACAATTACAAGGCATGAATGATTGGAATGCCTGTGAAAGGAAACTCTGCCTACTTGTTTTTGGAGACATTGTTGGAAGAGGATGGTATTGTCAGAGTAAGGAGCTGTAGAGGGAATCGCAAAGAATTGATCTCACTTAGCTGGGCTAAAAAGCATACTCAAAAGGTTTGTAGAGGTGAAAGTAGTAGAAGGATGAGGGTAGGAGGAAAAAGGAGTGATGTGGAAAGAGGTGGGGAGAACCACAAGGATGAAGAGTAGTAATAAGGGAGGAGGCAGAAAATGGAGAGGACTGTGCAGATGTAGTGACAGATATTAGGAGAGAGGAAGGGATGTATTCTGAAGGATGAGCATTAACCTGGATGGATGATTTCGAATGGATTAAGTTGACAGCATACATCAAGGAGGGGTTAGTAGTAGCATTGGTCAGAGCCCTGATCATAGGAGAGGCAGGTGTCAGGAAACCAGAAAAATCAAATGACGAGGGGCAAGCCTTCATGCCCTTAATATGGGTACAAAGTCTTTATTATTAGCCATGGTGAGTCTGGAATATGTGGGGCAAAGATACGTTTACCCTGCAGGGTCCATATGATAGGTAAGGGATAGGTAGGTGATTAACTGTGCCACACTCCCCGAGGCCATTCAGGACTAACACAAATCCAGCCTTTCATCCTTTCAGCACATCTCTTACCCTTTAGGAAGTGGACAGGATTTGAAGAAGAGAAGAAAAAGGAATGGGGGAGAAAAAAAGACCATGCAAAATAATTTGAGCCAAGGGCTGAGGCCCAAGGTAAGGTAGACCCCCAACATTGAGCCTAAGTCCCTGGATCCTATGCTCCCACAATAACAGTGGGCATGTTATGAGGGTTAATGGTTAATGGTTAAAAGCAAAATAAATGTGCTAGACATCTAAGGTCATATAGCACTATAGGAAAGTATAGTAAAGGGTGATGTCAGGTGATAGTTGGTATGCGTCAACTATCTAGAGTAATGTTGGAAAGTTGAAGATGGGTAAGGGGGTTGATGAGGGAAAGGGTTATGGTGGTTTAGGTAAGGGAATTAGATCAAGTAAAGGATATTTATGCATCTGAGGAAAGAGAAAAGGTTGTTATAAGAAGCAAGGATATGACATAGGTCTGGTTTGTGATAACGGAAACCACGAATATTCCAATGTGGGAGAGTTATATCTTAGTTATTTTATGAGTGAAAGCGCCGATACATGTTGGGGAATCTGGGGGGGAACGAGCTAGAGGGTGTTGTGACATGAGTGATTCCCCTGTGTATCCGGGAAGGAGTGGAAAGGATAGAGGGGATGGAGGGAGGGAGAATGTGCATATAGTTGGAGTTGAAGAGGGGAGGTTGTGTTGGGAGGGAGTAGGAGGAAGTGGTGTGGGGGAATATTAGTGGTAGAAGGATGGATATAGGAAGGATGGATATTTGGAGTTGAAGGGGATGTGTTGTCTTGGGAGGGATTAGGAGGAAGTGGTGTAGGGGTGCTATGAGTAAGAGGGGGATGGATTTCAGGAGGATGGGTATTGGGAGGATGGATATCGGTGGTGGACGGAATTGAGAGGGCTAAGTTGTGTTGAGAGGGAGTAGGAGGAAGGGGCGTAGGGGGAATATGAGTAGGAGGGGTATGGATATTGGCAATCACTTCAAGTGTGGAGGGAGCATGAGTTATGGAATTTTGTGTCTCAAACATATATCTTTGAATGTCTTCCATAGTTTCTGCAGTGGAGTTGCTTGGGGAGTTTTGTGGGACAAAGGTTTTCTTATGAGGGGGGGAAGAGGAGATTGGTGTCTGAAGAGTAAAGGTAAAGGTAAGTGGAGGTGAGTGTGCGGTAGGGGAAGAAGGGGTGGAACGTTTAGTCTGTCTCCTGCAGGTAGTGTGGGGAGGGAGAGGGGATGGTGTTGGGGCTGTAGTTGAGATTGGAGCTGTGGTTGAGACTGGGGTGTCTGGATTTAGAGTGGCAAAAGAATTTGACTGGGGGAGGTTGAATGTAGAAGTGGAAGTGGTAGAAGTGGTAGTAAGTAGGTATAGGGAAGGGCGTAGGAATATCTTGAGGTGGAGGGGCAGAGCGAGCGACATTACTGGAGTAGGGACTATAAGAGAAACCTTGTCAGCATGCTTCCTGTCTGGCTTCATGTAGAGAGACCCATTTTTGTATCTGAGAGCTGCTACCTCAGACTCAAACTTGTAAGTGAGACAGCCTCTATAAAATACATTATGGGGGCCGCCACAGTTAGCACATGTACATGTTTGTGCAGGGCAGTTTGATCTGTTATGACCAGGTTGGGCACAGAGGGGGTATCGGTCTGTGGAGCGGCAGTGTTTGGCAGGATGTCCAAATCGCCAACAATTTTGACATTGACAAGAAGGAAGTTGGTATGGTTGAACAGGGAGGGATTGTCCACCAATGTAAATACGAACAGGAATGTCTTGTGTACTGTAAGTAATTTTGGCAATGTTGGTGGGTTTCTTTCGATGACCTCTAGGAGGAATGGAGTAGCAATGTGCTGATATCACGTCCTGGTCTTTGAGGCAGCCGAGCAAGTCTTCACAATCTGACCAATCTTTGTTATCGACTGGGCAGTTTGCTAGGGAGATAGAGACAGTTCTGCTACAAGTATTAAGAGTTGGATGAGGTTCTGCAGGGGTAGGGTTGCCAGAGAGATCAGTTAGTTTTGATAATGCTATAGCTTTAGCTTCAGATCTGACTGTTACGAGACAGGAGCAATCACATCAGGTACAGAAAGGGACTCTGCCTACATGTTTTTGAAGACATTGTTGAAAGAGAAGAGTGTTGCTTGAGTAAGGAGCTGTAGGGGGAATCACGAAAAATCGGTCCCATTTAGCTGGGCTAAACAGAGTAGTCAAGATATTTGTAGGGTTGGTGGTGGTAGAAGGACGGGGGCATGTGAAAGCGGGAGTGTTGTTGAGGGGAGTAGTATTACAGAGAGATGGAGAATAAGACTGTAAGGTAGTAATAAGGGAGGTTGGGGTGTTTGATGATGAAGGTTGTAGGGGTAGAGTTGATGAATTTGATGAAATTGGGAGGGTAGGAATGTCTTCTGGATATTGAGTCTCTGCTTGGGTGGGTAATGCACTAGTAGGCATTGAGGAGTGGGTAGTAGTTTCAGTGTTCGGAGTCGTGGTCAAAGGAGAGCTTGGGGTCGTGGAGCCGGTGGGGCTATTTGATGAAGGGGCAAGCCTCATTGCCCCTGATAGAGGTATTGCATCTTCATTACTGGCCATAGGAAGCCTTGATTATGTAAAGGGACATATAGGGGGTAAGGGCTAGACAATTAAATCAGGGGAGTACCGTGCACATGGTTCCCGCAGGCCGTTCAGGACTGGCACACGGTTAGCCTTTCATCCTTTCAGCACAGCTCTTACACCTTAGGAAGTAGATAGTAGAAGGGGTTGGAGAAGAGACGGAAACAAAAAGCTGGAAGAGGAAAAGAGCATGCAAAATTAGTCAAGTTGAGGGCTGAGGCCCTAGGCAGGGGAGATACTTGCATTGGGTCTCAGTCTCCGTCTCCTAAGCCCCCCACGACAACGGGCAAGGGATTGGGGGGTGTTATGGGGGGATGGGGTCACCATTTGCCTATACAGACCCTATGTATGTTGACTCATTCATTCCATAAAAAAAGGAAAATTCATGAAAAAGATTTGGAAAAGGATTTCAATTGAAATACCAGTCTTCCCTTCAATCCTGTATTGTTCTCTCACTTTTTTTCTCAGGGAGAACATGTCTTTAACAAACTGCCACATACAATGGCATTTTTTCCAGCAATTGCCTAAGGCTATCTCAGCTTGCATCACATTCAAGAGATAAAAAAGTTTAGTAGTAATTTGAAGTTCCATTTTCTTATCAAATTATGTTTTATACTACTGATTAATCATTATTAACTATAACTAAATCTTAGTATTCTATGAAAATAATGATTGCACAAAAATATAATACTTAAGCCAATATCTTTACTTTCAATTACTGAAAAAGATGGATAAAAGCTTTCTGAAAATATCTATATTATAGCAAACTCAAATAGTTCATCTGTTCAAATGGATATGTTCTTTCATATTTCTTTACACTGCTTACAACTAATATATCATGATACTGATTGGATGTAAAAAAAAATATCGGCTACAAAAAAAGGATAAATTTTATTGCTGTTCTTAGCTCAGACAAAGAGAACATATGCATTATAGGCCACATGAAAAAGCTGCAGTTGTACCATAGGCAAGTCTTAATGTGTAACAGCAACAATATGGTTTTACGCCATTGGACCCTTGATGCTAAACAGCGACACTTTACAAAAAAATTTACATTTAAGGTATTGAAAGTCTTCAGGGGTGGGGGAGGGGGAAGTCATGCCATACTGAATCAAACACCAAGGCAAGCTTAGTGGGAGCGTATCCAAAGTGCTAAAAACTAAGAAACGGCTCCTGATCCTCTGTGAAATGACGTCATTCCATCCCTTTCTTGCTTTCAAGTGTATGCAGCCCTACTTTTTTTTTTTTTTTTTTTTTTTTTTTTTAGCTTTTTTGAGATCCTATGACAGTGCACATGAGTAGCACCTAGCATACAAGAATAAAAAAGGGGGAAAGGTAAAGATAGAGATGGAAAGAGGATAATCTGCAAATATACTTGGGTAAATACAATAAGGGGGAAATACCATCTCAATTCCTAAGTACAAGTTCACGTTGATCCTACAGGATGAAAAATAACCTCTAGTGATCTGTAAAATATTACAACCATTTCAGTGTTTGATGATACCTAGTGTCAGTAGTCAAGAATTTGTACATCAATATAATCATCAACATCCTGTTTCGGTTAAATACGCTTAACAGTTCCCCCACATTTGGTATTTATGTAATTTCTAAATGCCCTGAGATCTTGTTATCCTCGAAATTCAATGTTTGTAATAAAAAGATAAAAAGTCCTAAACAGATGCTAGAAAAAAGTCCTTTCATAAATGTCACTTAAATACACACATATTGGGACTTCTTCAAAAGTAAGGGGAAATGTCCTGTTAAAAGAAGAAAGATACTTTTACACTTTTGTTTTAAAATAAGAAAATGTCAAATTGATTCCTATTATGGAGTGCTATCTACGATTTTGCACTTGCTTGAAATAATATTATCCCTTTTAACATTGTCCATGCTAATTTGCAGTCATACAGAATATAAGTCAAGTCACAGGTAACAGATAATACCTCACATATCATCAACATACATAATACCATACCCAGTATTTTTAGCAGATTATACAAAGGTATATATATAAATGTTCACCTGACATGATTGGATCATAAATGCAAAAGAAAAAATGTTAGTTGGCAATCAATGAACTGTTACAAAATTTTATAAAACAGGACATAACAATCCTTGGTAGCCTTTGAGACTTGTACAATGAGGGCAAAAATCCTCACAAAAAATACAATAAAAAAAATGGGAATAACATACAAAAGTCACAATAAGGATACCAGATGACAAGTTATAAACTGATGGACAATATGTCAAAGCTCCTTATAAAATGACTACATGAACAGAAAATTGAGGTAGGACCTAATGATAATTCTCTCCATAAAATATGAACATAACCCATAAAAAAAGAAAAAAAAAATCAACCATTTCCATACAAACAGGGGGTCCAAGCTAGCCTCACTGAAGAAAACTTGTACAGTGATGGAAATTCCCTAAAACCTTTCATTGAAGCACCCACAACACTCAATTTTCAGCAGAGGCATCAGGATATAAAAGGGCATACATACCCTTACACGCAGCATTCTCTTCTTTCTACCTTTTCTTTGAGAATACACAACTTCCAAATGACTCTCAAACATATAAAAGATATGAAAAAGCAAAGAAGTTGGTTATTCTTTCCAACATGCCACGGTTCCCTTTATGCCTAGGACAGGTAGTACATTGACAAGCAAGACAGTGAGCTGAGGAGACATAAAAGCAAATATGAGGCTACTTCAGACAACCCTGTCAGCACCCACCAGCTGGGAGGTGGTAGTCTCCTTGGTCTGGGGACAAATGAATTCCTTATCTAAATAAAAGTGGAAAACTTTGCCATATATCTATATATATCACAACAAACCATGAATATATCAAAATACAAGTTTTATATGAAAATTAGGATATATCTCAGTCAATAAATAGAAACTAACACAACATATATGAAACTTAAAACATTACACTCGTGAAGAAACTAAAACGATAAAACAACTTCTTTCACGTCCCAACTACGAAAGCCAAGAGAAACCAGATCCCAGTTGGTGTGTGTGTTTTTTTTCCTTTTTTTTCATACTTCACTCATACTGGCAATATTCAATCTCCATAACCTGTTAAGCTGACACTCTAGAAATGAGCAACAATAAAGATTGTAGCCTTTGTAAAATACAATATTTTCCTAATGAATAGCACATGCTGAATGCATGTCAAGACTTACACCCTCATGTCACACAAATCTGCCAACATCCAAGATCAAGAACTTTTAGGTCTCTTAAGATGAACAAAGTGTAAAAACTTATTAGACCGAACAGTGACAAACCCAAAAAATTGTGTTCAAATAGACTGACACTACAAATATACACAATAATCTTTCACAATTTCCAAAGCTGTCACCATTAACCTGTATGATGGAGATCATTTACCAAAGATTTGAAAACAGTTATATTCAGTTCTAACTTCAGTCACACAGGCATATCATGTCTTTATACATTCAAAATTTTAGGTTTATAAACATGTATGGAAGAAATATGCCTACTCCCCATCCCTCCTATGATGCTGAACTCTACACAATCTTTTCCTTTAACTGAAGATTTGTACCCTCTTATTAGTTATATCAAAACTCTCTCGTACCTTGAAGATTGCACATTATTTTAAAATAAGGACTGTTGGCCTAGTCAAATATATTTGTAATTTTTATCTGGCTACCATCTTGAGACATGCAGAGTTGGAAGAAACTCAAAGTAAGGACGGTTTTTAAATAATTAATCAACTACACATAATTTCTGAATTAAAGCTGCTATCATTTATAGCTTAAGTGCCGAGATGTGAAAGCGACTGACCTCTGCTGTCCAAGGGAAAGTTACATTACCAAAAAGAACTCACGTCTTTACTGGCGGATTCCCTTCCAGATCCTTCAAACAGCAGCCTTAATAACTCATGAGGCAAAAAGGACTTTGAGGATTTATAGCCTTATTTCTTTCCTGAAGCAAGGTCATAGATTTGTGGGAGGAGAACAACTGTCAGCCAAAAGCTCAGGCACTTTTGAAGTAGTGTCTGCTATGTGATTGTGTGTGTCATCTGTATCATAATCTGGTAAGGTGTGGTCACAGTCCAAGGAGGTATCTAAGCTGGCATTGAGACTGGTCCAATCCTCTATATGCTCATGGGCCTGGCCATTATCAGCAGTGGAGAGAAGGCTGACTACATCATCAGGAGAGAGATGTGGAGCATCTGTAGAATTGAAATCTTCCAGTCTTGGATGGTGACAGGAGGATGCAGGAGTCTGGTTACTGTGGAACGATTCTTGGCTTTCCTCTTCCTGTTCTATTTGGCTGTCTTCTCCTGGCTCCACCTCTTCTGACTCAGATTCTGAACTTAGAGATTTGTTGTCTTCAAATTCATCATCAGGGTCATAATAAACTTCTGCTCCTGGGAAAATGTACTTGTGGGTGCCAGTATACAGGAAAGTATTGTCTGAAATCACAGAAATCATAGAAGTTAGTCAACATCAACTGTTACGGAGATATTCTAACCATTCTAGTAAACTTGCTTTTATCTTTTATTTCCAACATAATTTACTTTTATTCTACTACTCTGTTTCTTAAACTAATGTCAGGATGCTGAAGAAAAAGAGGAGACATTGCATGCTCACTGAATCTATTAGTAAAACATAAAAAGTTTTGTAAAATTTGATTTTATTAAACATTATGTTATACCTGGTAATCTTGAAGCCATCGTCTCCCGGATCTTGGGGGCCCAGCACGCTCTCAGGGCTTCAATATCACTCTCATCTCGAGGGTGTGGTGCATGTTGTGGGGCTATTAACGATGGTCCTGGTGCAGCGTTTGTGTCATCACCATCACCATTACTAATATTTACACTGATGCCTGGAATTGGTCTGGGTGGCAGTTCTCTAATCTCTGTCAGAGGTTCTGTCTGACTCAATTCGTCCCACCCTCTGCCCAGTCTGGGGGAAAACCAAACAAAATTAATAATATATGTACATAGATGTACATAAAAACATATACTATCTTAATATATGTGCATAGATATCCATAAAAACATATACTATTTTGCAAAATTAAATTGAGTAACACTTAAAATACATGTAAAGTACTTTGTACATACCTCCGACAAAGCTCATTGATAATTATATCACAATCACCTAAAAGTTCTACATCAAAGGTGAGGTGTCGTAAGGGTTCACGATTAATCAATATCTGAGGCACGTGTGAAGGAACTGAACCTGCAGGAGGAAAAAAAAGGAAATTAATATCAGAATGAGATTAATTGATCAGATGAAAAATAATAATGATGATGATGATAAATACAACCAAACTAACTCTCTTAATATGCTTTACTTCCACACATTAGATAAACATTTTTAAAGGAATTATCCCATTAGTCATCATATAAAATCTATAGAATTAACTGATGCAATAAATGTTCCTATCTAGCAATAAGAAATATACCATACATACAGTATTTACCATTCGAATATACCAAAGATAATCTTTAACTTTCAAAAGTTATACACCATTTATATAAAATATTTGAACATAACCAAACTGATCTTAAGTGTTATTTACAGGATCCCTTCACATCAGACACACAAATCACTTACTTGGAATCAGAGCTACTGGCCGCACTTTGAGGGAAGAGCCAATGACAATGAGTAGGTCACACTCATCCTTGTCTTCTGCCATTCTGTCATGAAACTCATCAGGTAAACCCTCTCCAAAGAACACAATGTCTGGCTTCATTATAGGTTGCGGTGGTAACGACTGGGGATCTGAAAAGGAATTTGTGCTGTTAGGACTGCTCTACCTCTTTCCCATACAGTTAATAAAAAATCTACCTGTATAATAAAAAGACAAGAATTCAATAAATAACGAAGAACAAATAAGCAGTGAGCTTATACTGGAAAAAAAAAACAAGGCTAAGTAGACCCACATATAATATACTTAGACATTAATTGCATTGCACTTTATTTTTTAATTATTATCTTTTTTTTATATCTCACCTGTTTGTCTCTGTTGCATGAAGTCCAGGCCATTTGTTTCAGTTTGTCTACTAACGGCATCTTCTATTTTTTGCTCATCACCAGCTATTCTACTTCCTTGAGTGGTTTCTTCATTCTCTGTACACTTTGGGCATTGTGGAATTCTCTGGGCAAATATATCTCCTTTAATGGCTTCAGCATCTACTTTGTAACCACAAACCTGACAAGTTGCTGTTGCAAATGAACCTGAAAGAAAAAAATCAATGAAGTTCAAAGGATTTTTCTTGATTACAATACCAAGCACATATGACAAGCACATACTAAATACATCTGACAAGCTTAGATATATTATAATTACCATGGCACTGGATGACGTCTTTTATTCCTGCAACTTGTTCTAATGTGTCAATATTCTGTGTGTAATTTCGCAATAATTTGTTGTGCTGTTCTATAAGACGGATAAATCTGAAAAAATAAACAATGGGTTACTTCCCAGAAACATATTTTGATCATTCACTTTATGTCTACTCAAAGTCATATACATCCAAACTGTAAAGTTAGGCACCTTCCCTTACCTGTGACAAAGTGATGGAGTAAACTGGCCTGGGTATA